GTCCTCGCCTTTTTGTATAGAGGGCTGTGCAAAGCCTTCAGGGCCGGGGAAGTATGGCTCAAGGGTTGTGTGCAATTGCTTCAGGTATAGTTATTTGTTTAAATAAAAATTTCACATTTATTTAGTAGTTATTTCAAAATTCAACTTTTTTTTTTCACTATTGTCTAATTAAAAAAAATACATATGTCGTATGTGTAGGTTTGGGCATGGGAACGTATCCCTCGCGTTCGCCAACAATCCGGGAGAGACGCTTTGATTCCATAAGTGGTTGCCCTTTAGGAGCAAGGTATGAATAATATTTATTTATATTTATACTTAACTTATTTCTATTATTAAATTTCTGATTACAATTTTTTTTTTCTGTGATTTTTTAAGGTGGGTGGGAAAAAAGGACATGAAACACCTAGCCAAGGGAACGGCCGCTATCCGGGATCAACTGACAGGGCTGCGAGAGGGGGATGTAAGATTCTTACGTTTTGCAAATTCATCCCATCTTTTTTATTATTGTTCTTAGATTTTTTATAACTTAATTCTTAATTCAATTTTTTTATTTCTTTTTCAGTTCGATTGGATGCCCTATACAGAGTTCATCGCGGATTCTTCTTCTCTCCCGGCACAGTGTCTAGAAGATCCACATATTTGGAAGTACAAGGGGTGGATCTTCTGCTGGGACGTCGCTGAGGTCCTCGAGACTGATAGGGTCCTCCGTCAGTTTGGGTGTTATCAGTCCATCCCCCCAACTCCGCAGATTAAGAATGAGGCCGAATGGAATGCACGCCACGGAGGCCAGGAATGACTGGGAGGGCATATACTGATTGGGCCCAGTTTCATTCAGAGCTCGGGAAGACTTGGGCCAAACAGAGAGACCAACATGTCCTCCCACATCAACCCGTGGATCATTTCATAGAGCCTGAGGAGGGTTACATGGATTGGTATCACCGTAGGACGGTGAGACTGATCAGTGACCCTAACATCTATCCGGTGGTCCAGCAAGACGGCGGCTATCAGCCAATTGCCGAGCGGCAAAAGTGTGACGTAAGTTCCTAAATTGTGAATTCTATTATTATTATTATTATTATTATTATTATTATTATTATTATTATTATTATTATTATTATTATTATTTTGGTGTGTATATTAATTGGTTTAAATTTTATTTCCAGTATGGTGCCATGAAGGAGGCTTATAACATCTTACATGGTGTTGAGCACTTATTGGATACAGCCCATCCAGAGGTGCAGACTGCATGGCACAATGCTCAAAACGTCCTGTACAGTTCAATGACTGTTGGAGGGCAAGAGGTCAGACAAGGGGGGACGTCTAGTCAACTTCTATCTCAAGAAGAGTACGTCCCTCCACAGGCCACACAGTCACATCGGGCAAGGCATCGACCAGGTCTGAACATTGGTGGAGGTAGAAGACGTCGTGCCCGCGAACCCGCTGACGCCGCCGAGTATGAGGAAGACGAAGAAGGTAATAATTTTTAACTTAACAAAAAAATATTTTTTTTTTGTTTCTATTTTTATTTTTTTTTTGTCAAGTCAATTTTTATATATTTTTTTAAATATTTAATCAGGTCAAGAAGAAGCTGCTACACCTATCACAAACATAGCCTCGTCTTCTTCAGAACAGAGACCTCCTAGGAAGGGGTCCCGGCAGCGTAGACCATCAGATACGTACACTCCTTCCTAGTAGTTTGTATTATGGGATTTTTGTGAACTTTTTTTTTTTGGTGGATTATGTTGAATGATATTTCGTTATTTATATATTTTTGAATATATGATTGCGGTTGTTTTTATTTGTTTCAATAATGGATTGATGTTTGGATTGTTCATTTGGATTTGGTTGGATTACTTATTTTGTTTTGTTTGTATGATTTATTTGAACTTGGTTTGATGGTATTTATGGTAAATTGGTTGATTTGCTCGTGTAATTTTGGTGTAGTTGGTTGTTAAAGGACGAAAAATGCTAAAATCGAGCTGCTGTTGTGTCACACGACTCGTGTGAGTAGGTGACACGAGTCATGTGGCTACAAGAAAATCAAATTTTAGCTACGGTTAATTCACACGAGTCGTGTGTTATGTGACACGGGTCGTGTTAGGTCACACGACCCGTGTGATTATGTCGTGTGAGTCTGGGATTTTGTTTTTAAAACTAAAAACGTATTCCAAGAATACGTTTCTAGAAGGTCAAAATCAATTTGGGGCAAAAATTAGGGCAAAATCAATTTGGGGCAAAATCATAAGGAAAACGTATTTCGCAAATACGTTCTTATGTAAACGTATTTGCCGAATACGTCTTATATTTTAAAATATTTATATTTCGCAAAAAAATAATTTTCTGAATTTGTGAAATTAATTTTACTAAACAACGTATTTTCGAATTACGTTTTTATATGGAAAACGTATTACCGGAATACGTTTTCACAAAAACGTATTCTGGTTGTACGGTGTTGATCATTTTAAATATGATTAATTAACTTAATTACAGTTTAATTACGATTCATAATTATATTACACAAACACGTATTCTTGAAATATGTTTTACTTCGACAAACGTATTTCGGGAATATGGTTTTCTATGAAAAACGTATTATAAAAATCCGGCTGTTTTATTTTGGTCTACTTCTTTTTTTTTTTGTCCAGTTATTTTATTTAATTTTTATTTTAATCAAAAATTCTCAATTGATAACTAAGTCTATGTTTATATAAAGAGTCATCATATTTACTAAAATTAGTAGTAAAAAAATAGGTCAGCATTTAATGCAACCCAAAAATAGTAGTTTTATTTTTTTTTTATTTTTCTTTAAAAATCATACAATTTAATGTGTAAATACGCTTTAATATAATCATAAAATTTGATCATACAATTTAATTTTTTTCTTTAAAAATACGCTTATATATATAAATTTGAATAAAATGTGTTTCTTAAATATCTAAATAATATAAAAATTCAAATGTTTAAATTAATTGATAAACATTTTATAAATTTCTATTTTACTAACGTATGTAATTTTATTTAAAATAATTTTAAATATACCGAATTTTTTTTAGAAAATCGTATCGATCCTACCAGTTCAACCGATTGGTGTTGACGGATTCAATAGCAAATATTTTATTCAAGTGAACTAGAATGATTATAAACTGGTTTTTTGGCCATCCGGTCGGACTGTACGGTTTAATTTAAAAACGATAGGTAAATCTTGATTAATTTATTTGTATATTTAATTTATCACACAATTGTAATATTATTTTTCCGTGCATCGCACGGGCCACGCACTAGTTATTTTGAATAAGTGAACTCATTTTAACAATCAGTTAATACAAGAACAATAAAAAATTAAATCAAATATAAAGTAAATCGATGGGTCATCGTGGTGTTTAGATATTAGAAAGTGAGCTCAACATTGTCAACATTAAACGTTATCCACCTCATCATGAAAGAACTTATGACAAGATGCATTGGAGAATAAATTAGTGACACACTTTCAAAGGTTGATGATATGGATGATTTTTTTTTCTAATGTCAAAGTCACAGTGGAGATGCTCTAAGGTCTCATTTACTAAAGCAGATGTGATTGGACTGATAATTTCGAAATTTGTCACGTACACCAATATGACGCGGCTACATTGACGATCTCTGTGACGATAAAATTTCGTTATCAATTTACTTTTGTGACGAAAAATAAGGTTTACATGACGAATGATATCGTCATGTTTTTTGAAATTTCTTGTAGTGTGAACAAGTGTTCGGGAGGAATACTTAGAACAACTTGAGGGATTCAAGCTAAAAAAAGTCTACCAGGGATTTGTGGTTAAATAATTAGTTGTGACGGTGGTTGTGTCAAGCAGAGTGTAGAGGGAGTTTGCACTGTAAACCCTTGATTTATGGCTGGGAGATCTACAATAATGAAAGAGATCCGAAGGGAGAGCGGGACGCTCTCTTGAAGGTTCATCACTACAACAAAAACTGCATTTAGAGACGCTTATTTTTTTACTTAGTGACATTTATTAGTGTCACAAATAAATTTACCTACACTTGCAACAGTGTCACCAGTTGCGTTGCTAAATTTGATGTCACGAATTATTTGTGACGCAACCTAGGTGCGTAGGTAATTTTTAATGGGCGACACTTTTTCAAAAGTGTGTCGTTAGTATATGATTTAGGGATACAATATAATACTGTAAGTAATTTCAATGAGTAACTCTTTTTTTAGCACGTCATTATTATTACGAGTTGTGACATAAAATATTAGCGTCGACAAATCCCAATGCATGACGCTTTTTTATAACATCTTTAATACTACCTCCTATTTTAAATAGATGTCGTTTTGGGATGTTGCACATCTATTAAGAATATTTTTTTTGTCAATAATAACCTTATTTAATGAAGATAGAGATGAATGTTTTGAGAAAAAGATGAAGAGTGATTATGAAAAGACGTGATGTATTTATTAGCTAAATGGGGGTAATAATGGAAAAATATGTACAAAAGATCCAAAACGACATTTATTTAGCAAATAGTTGATAAAGCTAGAATGACATTTAAAAAAAATAGGAGGGAGTATAGATTATTGTGACACAAAATTGTATTGTTTGCAATTTTTAATACATTACACTTTTTTAAGTTTGCCAAAATACAAAGGGAATGAAAGACATTTTATAAAAAAATTCATACTCAAACACAAATCTCAATCCACAATCGTAATATAATGGTTCACTGAACAAATGATAATTGAAAGACTAGGACCATAATTCTCATGACATTGAATTTAAAAAAAAAAAAAAAAAAA